GGATTGTTCAGGAACTGTGTATACTGGGAAGTAGTTGCCCCCTTAGAGATGTAGGGACGGGACTTGAACCCAGGTCTCAATGTCCTAGAATCTTGCTTCTGTCTGAGCAGGCCCCACTTGTCTTTTGCAGCAGGTGTATTCTGAGCATCCTTCTGGCCCCCATTTCTGCCCTTCCCCGCCCCAGGCCCAAAGGTCCATTGGAGCGGAAAATTAAGTGACCTTGCTAGTTTCCACGTAACACCCCAAAAGCCCTGGTCTAGGTGAAGTCAAGGGATTTCGTTGGCTTAAACATTAATGGGCAGATAATTGTCACACACCAAATGGGCATCTTCTGGAAGTTCACTATCCAATACTCATCACCTTCGTACGTGGAAGCCTGAGTTTCAGGATATGTGTTTTCAGAAGCTAAAGATGCCCCAGTTATTCTATGACGGGGAAGGAGACTTTAGACTGCTCTTTTGTGCGGCAGTTCTTCCGAGCACATGCAGGGCCGTTACTACACCTGGGACTGCCTGAGCATCGCTGCGTCCTGCCTCCACCCCAATCTGTGAGCAGGACCGTCGCTTTCTGTATTTTACCTCACAGCTGCCAACTTTTTTTTTTTTTTGAGACAGTCTTGTTCTGTTGCCCAGGCTAGAGTGCTGTGGCATCAGCCTAGCTCACAGCAACCTCAAACTCCTGGGCTCAAGCAATCCTGCTGCCTTAGCCTCCCAAGTAGCTGGGACTACAGGCATGCGCCACCATGCCTGGCTAATTTTTTCTATATATTTTTAGTTGTCCAATTAATTTCTTTCTATTTTTAGTAGAGACGGGGTCTCGCTCTTGCTCAAGCTGGTTTTGAACTGAGCTCGAGCAATCCGCCCGCCTCGGCCTCCCAGAGTGCTAGGATTACAGGCGTGAGCCACCGCGCCTGGCCACAGCTGCCAACTTTCTTGGCTCAAAGGGCAGATTTGAAAGCAGCTTGCAGCTGATCGTAGCAATCACAGGTCCCTAAATTGATGCAAAGGGTGGGTGCAGCTCAACCTGGAAACTGGGTTAAAAACCAAGCCAGGATTGATTGGCCTAGAGTTTTCCCTGGCTACCCTGTCACTATAAAGAGGGGACATTCTGTCCTGCCCTATCCCCACCTCTACCACCTGAAAGTAAACTTGTTAAGTTTATTTTGAGGAAGTATCAGAAGTTTAGCACTGAAAACAAGCTGTGATGCAACACTAATTTGTAAAGGTGTTTGTAGCAGATTTCCGGAGCAAGAATAGAGCATTTGGTAATACCAATTTCCTGCCTGTGCTCCAGTCTGCGGGTCTCGGGCTCCATAGAGCAGTAGTGACCCCCATCAAAGCCATGCCCTTGTCAGTGGAACACTGGCCCCAGAGCACCCAGTGAGACACCAACCAGGGGCAGCTAAAGAGCAGAAGGCCCACTTTCCAGAACCCTAAATGCCACAGGCAGTAAAGTCTAGGTAAGTCCTATGAGGATCTGTTGAGTCCCCGCTCTGTGATTTAGACTGAAATTGCCCTCTCCCTTTTGGTGACAGTCCTCCGGGAGAGGCCATTTCTGGGATGCTGTCTAGAGGCACTCAGAGTGGCCCAGCGTTGACACATGGTCGCAGGCTGCTGGGAGTCCTGGCCATGGGACTGTTCACCTTCACACCAAACAGGCGGGGACAGCACCTACATGTGGGTGTCTGTTTCCAGGCAGGCCTCTCGGCTTGTGAGGGCAGAGAACACGGCAGTAGGGCCTGTGGTGGTTCCACGGGTGCCTGCTCCCGTTCATGTGACACTGGGGTCCAGGCATCAAAGCCCACGGCCCAGCGGTCACCACCTATGTGTCCTCCTGCTGGGCCTGCGCGCCTCAGGCTGATTCCCCTGGATGCCCCCTTCCCATGTCCCTAGGCCAAAACCTAGAGGGCAAAGTCTAGGGGAGAAGGGAATGCCTAGGGCCATGGCCAGGCGTGCCCTGAGCCGGTCGCCTGAGTGCTGGCACCTGGTTCTCTTCTGATGAGGCCCAGTCCTCGCACCCTGCAACCCGTCTGATTTTGCTGAGCAAGGAAGAGAGGTCCCTGGGGAGGCGGAGAATAAGGGTGTGGCCCACGTTTGGCCCAGAGACACCTGCCGGCCACTGTAGCCTCAGCCCCACACACCAGTGGGTGCACGGGTGCCTGGGGCCCGTCCTGCTCTAGGCGCTGGGGGATGGGCCTGTGGACTGGCCCAGGAGAGGACACGGGGCCTGCAAAGGGGATCCTGGCTCTTGCTCAAAAAGGGGCAGCAGGGGAGGTTTAAGTTAGACCTGAGAAAGAACTGCCACACATGAAGGCCGATCTATTTCAATCCTAGGAAGTCCTCGGTTCCCCTCCCACCCCGTGACAAAAGATCCCGTAGGGCACTGCCTGGGCCTCACGCCCTGATGCCAAGCCGCTTTCCACACTTTCTGCCTCCACTGGCCCAGCCCTGGGGATTTCCTGGCTAAGGAAGTGGCCTGCCCAGCCCATCTGGGGGAGGCCAAGTGGCCTGAGGGTAGAGAAGATGGCATCTGGAAGGAGGCCAGACTGGGAAGCCCTGCCTCTCTAACACCCAGTGCTGGTTAATTAGACGTCTCCTTACAATTTCTAATAATTAGCATTAATAATTAGCCAAGCTGGGCAGTTTTCTACATATCTTACACTTTAAAAGTTTTTAAAAATGCCATCTCCTCCCCTAAAAAATCCTACCTCCATTACCTTCTCCCTTCACTTTTGTCCATTCTTTTTTTAAAAAAACTTTTAAAGAATCATTTAGTCCTGGTTTCACCCGTGCACTAAAGGAAATCCTTTCTCATCCCGGCAGAAAGGATTTTTGAGCCTGTTTACCGAGGTCACTGCAAGGTCACACTCTCAGCACGTCACGCCTCTGCCACCCAGCAGCCGTGCCAGGCCAAGTGGGAGCACAGCCCAGCCACAGGAGAGAGGGAAGGTGGCCGTGGGCGGCACAGGGCCGCAGGGCGGGAAGGGTGGTGGGGGAGGGAGGGAAGTGCGAGGCCACCGTGCCTTCCTGGCCCTTGCTCCACCCCATCTCGCCCAAGTGAGCACCCCCCATCCCCGTCGGGTCCTTGCTGGGGCCTTTGAGGCCACACCATGGGTGACAGGGAAGGTGGGAGACACACTGTCTGACAGGGAGGGGGCATTTTAACAGCTCAGCCACTTGCAGGGAGCCACCTGCTGTGCTGCCAGGGGCCGCCCTCCCAGCCACCTTGGGGTCACTGGAGGAAAGCCAGCCATCCGGTAACCCCGCTCGGAATCTATTTTTCGTTTTGTTTTCAACTTGGTATTGAAGTTAAAACACCCACAGCAAGAGGGCCGGGCATGGATCTTTCGAGTGTGCGGCTGGGTTGAGTTTCAGCAAGTGAAGCCACTTGTGGAACCAGCGTCCTTCTCGAGAAGGGGCACACACCATGCGCCACCTCCTGCTCCCTGTGCCCCAGCCCACCCCACCCGAGGCCACCCCTGCCCCCCGGCACCAGACTGGCCCCGGCAGCTTTTGCACTTGGGATGCGCTCATCCTCCGTCCGGCACGTGCGCTTTGTGTCCCCTGCTCTCCACCCACATTGTGTCTGGAAGGTTGCACGATGTTGTGTGACACTTCCTTGTCATTGCTGAGTAGTTGTCCCATTGTCTCTGCCTATCCTTCTGCGTGGGAAGATGCTAGAAGGACACACCCAGGGCTGGAGAACTCCGGGTGGGGACGGGGGGTGCAGGAGACAACAGGTGACGGGCCCTTTCTCGGTAAGTGAAGCGCCTACCAAGCAAACCTTCCAGAGCAGATGGAAGGGACCCCACACCACTTCTTAGATAATAAAACCAGGAACACCCTCGAACTTGACTCAGTCGTGTTGAGAGTCCTGAAAGAGCATGTCTTGGCTTCCCCTCTGCCAGACCCCACCCTTTCCCCCAGCTGAGTCTGGGGGTGCGGGACTCGTGGCTCTCAGAGTGCTGGAGGTGCTGGCTGCCTTTGCCCAATCGTGGCATCCCCAGGTCTGGGCGGCACACTGGCCCTGCCGCTTTCCTGAGCTGGGGCAGGGGTCAGGCAGTGTAGCCGGGGCCTGCAGGGAGGCGGGGCGGCAGCCAGACAGCCTGAATCTGCGGCCGGCCACTGATGACCGTGGACGAGAGTATAAGCTCTGAGCCTCCCAGGCTCTGGTGAGAGTGGGAGACAGAGGCCTCACCTGTCCCCAGGCACGCTGTCCCTCTCTGCACGTGTTTGTCCCAAATCCTCTTCCTGGCAGAGTGGGAACAGGAACGATTCATTGGTGAGGATTTGAACTCAGGTCCTACTCAAGGTCTGCGCCATGTCCGTCCCGGCTGCCAGTGGCCCTCAGCCACACTCACACACCTGGGGACGGGCACCTAAGCCGCACACGCAGCGCGGCGGAGGCGGGTGTCATTCATTCACTCGGTGAATCGTGCTGTCACCTTCCAGATGCTCACGAGGGCCCGCTGTGTGCCACGCACAGGTGCAGGGGCTGGCCCAGAGCCCTCGACGAAGCAGGCCACGTCCTTGCTTTCCCGGGGCGCTTGCTCTGGTCAGGACAGACGTGAATTAAATCGGAACTAAGTCACTGATGGAAAGTGCCCTAGGAAAATACCGCAGGCAGCGGTTGTCAAGGCATGAAGTTTGCTATTTCATGTGAAGTTATCAATGCAGGCCTCTCGGGGGAGGTGACATTTGAGCAGAGAAAGGAGGGAGAGAGTTACAGATGTGTGGGGAAGACGGCCAAGGGGAACAGCCAGTGCAAAGGCCCTGAGGTGGGAGCAGCTCGGATGTGTTCCCAGCGGAACCCCCACAGGGAGGACCAGGACAAGCTGTCCCTGCACATGTGTGCGTGTGGCCGGGCATGGCCACCCCAGGCGAGCCTGAAGAGTCTCCAGGAACTGAAAGAAGAAGTAAAGCCCTTTCTGCGCCCTCCCTGCCCCCTCGGCTCCCCCTCACCCCCAACCGCAACAAAAGGGACTTCCTCTTATCAGCGCATTTAAGGCCCAGCCCGAGCGCGCCGGGACAAGTCCAGGTCACACTGCCTTCCAGCCATGGGGGACACCTTCATCCGGCACATCGCCCTCCTGGGCTTCGAGAAGCGCTTTGTCCCCAGCCAGCACTATGTGAGTAGCAGGGGCGGGGCACAGTAAGGGACCGGGCAGCCCCCTGGGCCACCTGGACTTGGAGGGCGAAGGGGGCGGGGTCTTGGGCACGTGGCTCCTGGTGGATCGGCCTGCCGGGTCCTGACACCCAGAGATGCTCGCCTTGGACATTCAGGCTGGGGAGCCGGCTGGGCTGGGACACACCTGCCCCCGCCCTGCCCAGCCCGCACCCCCAGCCCCAGCCAGGAGGCCCCTCCCTGCTCGCCGGCCATGGCCCTGCAGCCCAGCCCTCAGGTCCACTGCCCCATCCTCCCGGGAGCCCTCCCTGACCAGCTCAGCTCGTAGGGAGTGGCCCTTTTGAGACCCAGGCCTGGCAACTGGAGCTCTGTCCCCAGTCTCCTCTGGCGTCAGTTACATTAGAGTCTTATCCTCTCCAGTATAGGGTGACAGCACCACAGCGGTCAAAAAAGGGACCCCTTCTGCCTGCGGGGGCGGGGGGCGGGTGCCAGCCCAGAGGAAGACCAGGAGGATCTCTGTTTAGTAAATTGTATGGTATTTGTGTGGAGCATTTAGTCCTATGTCTAAATGCTTGGCTTTTAGAAAAAAGCCAAGACCTTTTTTCTTTCTTTGGAACTTTTTTTTTGGAGACAGGGTCTTGCTCTGTCACCCAGGCTAGAGTGCCATGGGATCATCATAGCCCACAGCAACCTCAAACTCCTGGGCTCAAGCCATTCTCCTGCCTCAGCCTCTCAAGTAGCTGGGACTACCGGCCGTGCCAGGCTAATTTTTTTATTTTTATTTTTTGTAGAGATGGCGAATCTCATTCTGTTGCTCAGGCTGGTCTCGAACTTCTGTGCTCAAGCAATCCTTCCTCTTCAGCCTTTCAAAGTGCTAGGATTACAGACGTGAGCCACCTGCCTGGCCTGTAACTTTTACTTTTGAAATAATTACACATTTACAGAAAGTTGCCCAAAGAGTACCAATAACTCCAATATTTCTTCACACCTCTCTCTTTCTCTTTCCCTTTCTCTCTCTCTGAACATAAATTTTCTGAATCATTTGAGAGTAAGTTGAAGATATTGTGTTTCTTTACCCCTAAATACTAGGTGCTGTGTATTTCTTAGAATCTAAGACCTTCTCTTCCATAACTGCAATGCACGGGTGTCAAAAATCAGGAAATACACTGATACAACACTATTATCCAAACCCCAGACTTCCCCAATTATCCTACTCTTCTCAAGTCCAGAATCCAATTTGGGATCAATTCATTGTCACATCCTTTAGCCTCCTTTCATCTGGATCTCTCTTAATCAGCTTTTCTTTGTTTTTGCTATTCTGGCATTTCAAAGCGAGCAGCTAGTTACTTTGTGGAAATATCCCTTGATTTGGGTTTATGGGACGCTTCTCCATTAGATTCAGGTGATGCCTCGAGGGCAGGGACACCTTGGAGGTGACGCTGTGTCGTTCTTGTGGGATCCCGTTAGGTGACATGCAGTTTTGACTTGTTCCAACGTGGGAGAAGTTAACTTTGACACCTAGGTCATGGATGTGTCTCGCAAGTTCCTCTATTGTAAAGTTATGATTTTTCCCTTTGCAATTAACAACAAACTCCAGGAAGATTCTTTGAAACTATGTGAATATCCTGCCCCTGCTAACTCGTGCCTAGATCTCATTACTATAGTGATCACCAAAGAGTGATTTTTTTTTTTTTTTTTTGAGACAGAGTCTCGCTTTGTTGCCCAGGCTAGAGTGAGTGCCATGGCGTCAGCCTAGCTCACAGCAACCTCAATCTCCTGGGCTCAAGCAATCCTCCTGCCTCAGCCTCCCGAGTAGCTGGGACTACAGACATGCGCCACCATGCCCAGCTAATTTTTTTCTATATATATTAGTTGGCCAATTAATTTCTTTCTATTTATAGTAGAGACAGGGTCTCGCTCTTGTTCAAGTTGGTTTTGAACTCCTGACCTTGAGCAATCTGCCCACCTCGGCCTCCCAGAGTGCTAGGATTACAGGCGTGAGCCACCTTGCCCAGCCAGAGAGTGATTTTTTAACTCTCTCATTCCTTCTGCATTTATTAGTTAACATTTTACTGTAAGCATCTTCCCTTTTCCCTTATTTTTACTTTTATCAATGTGGATGCATAGATTCCTATTTTATTCAATGGGCTATAATCCATTCCTATCATTACTTATTTGGATGCTCGGATTGTCCCATATTTGGCCAGTGGGCGCTCCTTCAAGCTGGCTTCTCTGCCCTTTTGACACGACCCGCCGTTCTTCGAGCATGTCTTGACTTCTGGCACGGCGCACTCCAGGTTTATCTTGCACTTTCCAGCCCCAGACCTGGACTCAGCCATTTTTGGTGTTTTTTTTTTTAGTGGGGAGGGAAATTAGAACCCAAGATCTGGAAGCAAGGTGTGCTTATTGTCACTGGGCATCATTGCTTGCATCCTTTCAGCACACAGACTGGGAAAAATAGCAATTTCATGTGATTCTTGCCTTTCACCATTTAATATTGCACTGTGAGAACCTGCTCCCAACAAGATCAATCTATATACTCTTTTGCTTAATCCTACAGTACAGATAAAGTTGTTTCAGAATTACTGCACCCATACTACAGTAGGTGTAAAACGAACAATACACCTACTAACCCATTCGTTCAAATTTTTGTTTGCAATTCCTTGTGTCCTTTTATCTTTAGACAGAGGGTAATAACAGTGCTGTAACTAAAAGTTACTTGGATTATTTCTTTTCTATTTTTCTTTAATATGGTTCTGTTACTGATTTGGTATAAAGTTCATTTGTTTCTTTTTGCTTCCAATTTGGAGGTTTTAAAAATTCTTTGTTGATTTAATTTTATTTTTAAGTATGTAAAATATTTTTTAATTAAATATGTAAAATATTAACATGTGTTCAAACATGAAAATGTGACAAAAAGATATGCTTAGACACTTAGTCTGGTTTATTTTTCCTGTGTTTCCATTTGCTAAAATAAGTAGACATCTGCTAAAATAAGTAGACAATTTTTACATTTTTTCTTCTTTACTCCACACACGTAATAAACAAGTTGACATATTATATATACTTTTTTCATTTTGCTATAACATCCTGGAGTTCCCTTCAAATTAATTCACTGAGTCTCTCAAGTTACATCTGCTTAATAAACCATTGTACCCATATGCCATTGTTTATTCAAACAACTGGTTAGATTGTTTTCACTATTTTACACCTAATCATGCTGTATTTATATTATTATAAGTTGAACACCTCTTTATATTTTTGAGTTACATACATATCGTGTTTCCCCAAAAATAAGACCTACCCATAAAATAAGCCCTAGCAGGATTCCTAAGCATTTGCGCAATATAAGCCCTACCCCCAAAATAAGACATAGTGATGGGTGTGTCTACGCAGCGTATCTGCACAACCCATGCATTTTGTCGCAGAGCGGTCAAGAAAAGGAGCAGCCCTTCTCATCTGCCCCATCGTGACAGCTGCTATCCCAGAGGTGACCAACAAGGTCGGCTCCCCCTGTCAGGTCCCCGCCATCCTGTGCGTGCTGCAAGCTGAGGCTTTGAGGGGAAAATAACACATCCCCTGAAAATAAGCCCTAGGGTGTCTTTTTGAGGAAAAATAAATATAACACCTTGTCTTATTTTTGGGGAAACACGGTATGTGTATGTGTGCATGCTCTGAACTGTTCATGCCTTTTGCCCATTTTTCTATCAGATTTTTGTCTTTTTTCCTTCACGATGCCCAGGTATTATTTTAAAAACAATTTTGTAGAGGCGGGGTCTTGCTATATTGCCCAGGCTGATCTTGGACTCCTGGCTTTAAGCGATCTTCCTGTCAGTTTCCCAAAGTGCTGGCATCACAGGCATGAGCCACCACGCCCAGCCATTTGTTGAGTTTTGAGCATTACCACCATTCTAGAGCACTCCCTGCCCCAGTCATTCCCCTCCTACCCCCAGGGACAACCACTGTTCTCACTGTTTTCCACCATAAATTCGTTTCGTTTGCTCTAGAATGTCATAGATTCTTCTGGGTCCACCAAATCTGTGCCCTTTCTGTGGCCCAGGCAACCCCAAGGATCTCCCTTGCTCAAACCCTCGGGCTCCCCCCAGGGGGTAGAGGGCAGGCAGATGCGTGGCAAGGCCCCCTTGGAAGCTGAACGCGGTCCCCACCCTGGCCTCCCCCCAGGTGTACATGTTCCTGGTGAAGTGGCAGGACCTGTCCGAGAAGGTGGTCTACCGGCGCTTCACGGAGATCTACGAGTTCCACGTGAGTGTCAGGATGGGCAAGGGGGGGGGGGACACAAACAGAGAAGGCAGGAAAAACAGGCAAGAGAAGAAAGGGTCTAATTGGCAGTCTCCTCACTTCTACTCCATCGGTAGCGAGGGGGGGGGGGCGTTTCAGCCTGGAAGCTGGTTTCTAAAAATTCACCTCTTCCTGTCATTTTTTTTTTTAACTTTAAAAAAACATTTTACCCCTAAAGCGTATTTTATTGTGGCAAAATATTCGTAACATAACATTTACCATTTTAACCGCTTTAGGTGTACAATTCAGTGGCCTTAGTACTTTCACAGTCTCACGCAACCATCACCCACTGTCCACTTCTAGAATTTTCCATCTTCCCAAATAGGAGCTCTGTACCCACTCAACACTAACTCAAAGGGATAGTCTCAGGGCTGGACCTACCCTGTCCCTGCAGGGAGCAGCCTGGCCGGGGCCGAGGTTCTCATCCCCGGGGCCTGCTGGGCACAGCCACTGGCACGAACAGGCTCCCTCGTGTGCCAGAAGGACTTAAGGATGCTGCTGCCCAAGAAAGCATCTCGTGGGAGTCTGTGGTCACCGCGGTTCCCGTGAAAGAATCCCATAGGCCTAGAAGGGAGGGCCCCAACACTGGCGATTGGTTGGACAGGATGGGGGATGGACAGGGTGGGAGTGGGAGAGGCGTATGGAGGTCGCTGTCATAATCCAGGCCTGGCGGTGGCTTGGGGCCAGGGCGGCGGTGGGTGGCAGGCAGGGGCCGGGTTCTGGAGAGATTTGGGGCATAAAACCAAAAGGACGTGGGGTGGGAGAGAAAGACGGAGTCTCTAGCCACAGGGATTCAGGGGTATTTAGGTTGTTTCCAATGTTGTGCTTTTACGGTGTTGTAATAACGAATATTCCTCCACATCTTCCTTTCCTTTTACGTTTAGAAAACCCTAAAAGAAATGTTCCCCATCGAGGCGGGGGATATCAGCCCAGAGAACAGGATCATCCCCCACCTCCCAGGTGAGGAATGGGGCTGGGTCACCTGTCATGGGTCCCCTCACCTGCCCTTGCCAGGCCCCTCTCTGGGCACCTGAACTGGTCATTGAGTTCACGCGTCCTCCGGTGCCAGCCCCCAGGTGGTTTGACGGGCAGCGGGCCACCGAGAGCCGCCAGGGCACGCTCACCGAGTACTGCGCCACGCTCATGGGGCTGCCCGTCAAGATCTCCCGCTGCCCCCACCTCCTGGAGTTCTTCAAGGTGCGCCCCGACGACCTCAAGCTCCCCACAGACGGCCAGTGAGTGTTCCCCTCCCCTCACCAGGCACGGGAGGGAACGGGGGCTGGATGTTTCCCGCTTTACAGGCAAGAGACTGGAGCTCAGAGAGGGACAGCCACCTGCCCAAGATCACACAGCTGGAAAGGGAAGGAGGCAGGGTTCCATCTCTGCTGTGTGGCCTGCCGAGTCTCTCCCTGGACTTTCGGTGCTGGGGGAGCACTCTGGGCTGAGGCCTGAAGTCTGGGTCCTCATCCTGACACTGTGGCCGCCTGGCCATGGGACCTAGAGCCCCACTGGTCACCGCCGTTCCATGAGGGGCTTCCCCATGTGTACCGGGTGGTGAGGACGATGCCTCTGCCGCAGCCCCGGGTCTCCTGTGCCCATTGCCCTGCGTGGAAGGCACCTGAGAGGCTTAGTGAGCTCCAGGCAGGCTGGGGAGGTCCCCCTCTCGGGTCCCCCTCTGGTCACTGAATCCCAGGGGGCAGGCCTGGAGGACAGCACCACCCCTCGCCAAGGCACCCAGGCCGCCAAGACAGACGGCATTGCTCAGGCGGGCACCTGCTGACCCTGGAACGTGCCTCCCGGTCCAAGGAAGGGTAGTTGTCACCGGCCGGGAGGCCTAGGATTGGTGGGCTCACCCTGGGGCTCCCTGCCTGTCACCTGCTCTCTCCTGAGGCTCCAGAAGGCAGGAGCTGGCCCACAGCTAACCAGAGCCTTTCCCGGGCTGGGGCATGGGTCAGCCGGCGGGGACAGAGGTGCTCGCTCTCTTCTGCAGAAGGCTGGGTCATGTCCTCCTCCTGTCCCTCCCTCGGGCATCGAGCAGAGGTCCCCTCTGTCATTCCCCAAAGCCCTTCCTGGCCAGTCCAGTCGGTCGCTCTCTTCTCTCTGCAGTGGCCCCGTTTCCCTCGTTCCTTTTTGCTCTTGGGCAGTTCTTCTGCAGGTCTGCCCAGAGCCTGTCCTTCCCCAGCAGGGAGCCGAGTGACTGACCAGACCGTTTGTTCCCTCCCCAGGACGAAGAAGCCAGAGACGTACCTGATGCCCAAAGACAAAGACGGCAAGAATAGTGTGGCGGGTGAGAGCACGGGCACCGGGGGCACCCAGGATTGGGGTGCGGGGAAGAGGGCAGGGGGTGGGGGCAGGCTGGGAGGGTGCTTGCCTGGGTCTCTGGGGGTCACTGGGCAGTGACAGGAGCCCCTTGCAGGTGGCAGTGCGTCCTCACCTCCGTGGCCACAGAGCCTGGCGCAGACCACGGCTCCCAGTAGCCTTGGGGATGCTTGTGGCTGAATGAACAGGTTTGGGGGCCAGGGTGAGCTTTGGAGGTGACGCAGGGACATGTCCATTCCTAATCTTTATGGCACAGTGCTCGTTAATAATAACATCTAACATGCATGGGGCACTTGCTCTGTGCCAGGCACGACGTTAAAGGTACTAACCCACGTGACCATCCCTAGCCCAATATGAGATAGGCACTACTGTGCTGTGACCCCATTGTACAGCTGGGCACACTGAGGCTGGATGTGAGTTGAGACTCTTGCCCAAGGTCACCCAGCCACTGAGTGGTGGAGCAGGATTTGAGCCAGCCAGGGTGACGCCCAGACGAGGACTCTGGGCTGTCTGAGGGACTGTCGGCGCTGCCGCAACACAGGCGCACGGGCTGGGCGGTTTGAAGGACAGAGGCGAATGTCTCAGTTCTAAGGCTGGAGCCCCGCACCAATGGGCGACAGCGGTGGTCTCTCCTGAGGCCGCTGTCCTTGGCCCGCAGACTGTCCCCGTCTGGCCTCTCTCCTCGTGCACATCCTGGTGTCTCTCGCTCCTCCTCTGAGGACACCTGTCATACTGGGTTAGGGACCCTCCCTTGTGACCTCATTTTAACTGACTTGTCTCCTACAAGACTGTCTCCCAATGCAGTCACATTCTAAGATGCTGGGGGTTGAGGCTTCAACATACAGATTTGGGGGGACCAGTCTGGTCCACAGCAAGTGGCATCAGCATATCTGGGGGTCCTGGTGGGGAATGCAGGCTCGGGTCCCCTGCAGACCTACTGAGTCGGGTCCCAGAAGCCGACTGGGGACTGGTGCACATCGAAGTCGGGAAGGGCCACTCGAGGCCACTCACCGACTCATCGAATGAGAAGGAGGATGCGTCTGAAGTGGGGGCCGCAGCCCGGAGCCCGCCAGGCTCCCAGAAATGCGGGTCTGCAAAGACCGGGGATGGCAGTGCCTGTTCTGGCGGCTGGCATGGGGGACCCGCCCTTGAGGTGCCCGCTCCCTCCGTCCTCCCTCTGCCCCAGACATCACGGGCCCGATCATCCTGCAAACGTACCGCGCCGTCGCTGACTACGAGAAGAGCTCGAGCTCCGAGATGGCCCTGGCCGTGGGCGACGTGGTGGACGTCGTGGAGAAGGGCGAGAGCGGTAAGGTCCTCGCCCCGCCAGGGCTCGCGGCCTCTGGCCTCCTTCCGGCCCGGCCCAAGGGTGGGGCCCGGCTCCCTCGGGTGCCCTGAACGCCCTCCCCACCCCGAGGGTGGCCCGCTCTGAGTGTGCGCCCTGGGGTGGCCGGGGCGTCCGTGGGGAGCCCATGTGGGGCCCTGCTCACAGGAAGCGGGGTCGGGGCTGGGGTTCTGCGAGCCCGTGTGCGGGTGTGAGGTTTCCGTGTTGAGCCGGTGCAGGAGGCACTCTGGAATCCGAGCGCTGGGTGTCTGTGTGCTGTGTCCGTGTGTCCTCGCCTCCCCTGATGGCTGAGGGGGTGCCAGGCCCTGCCCCTCAGTCCCCCCCCACACACCTGGCACAGGCTGGTGGTTCTGCCAGATGAAGGCAAAGCGTGGCTGGGTCCCGGCGTCCTTCTTGGAGCCCCTGGACAGTCCCGACGAGGCGGAGGATCCGGAGCCCAACTATGCAGGTGCCCTGCCGTCCAAGGGCGTAGGGGCGTGGGCGGAAGGGGCAGAGAGGCGCGGGGATATTGAGGGGCTGTCTTGGGCCTGGCCTGGGGAAGTCAGGGCTGAACCCCATCTCCTCTGTCTTGGGGGCCCAGGAAGGTCGAGACGCCCTTGGTCAGCGCAGGGAACCAGGAGGTGGAGCAGAGGGTGGGGGAGGGGAGGGGGACACGTGGTGGCCCCCAGCATGGGGCCAGTTCCAGTGTGAAGCTGAGTGGTGAGCTGGCCTGAGGCTCAGGAAGGAGGGCTGCCTGGAGGTGGTGGCGTCATCCCTGATCAGATGGGGAAAACTGGCAGCCCCAGGCCAGGGCCGAATGGGGCCTGCATTAAGTTAAAAAAAGTTAGAATTGGTTGTCCATATTTTAAAATTGAGAGATTTCACCATGCGATGTGGATTTATGGCTCCTCTTTAAACACGGGGAAAGGCCTGCAGCCCTACGTGCCAACAGCTGGCTGGAGTTGAGCAGCTCCTGGTGCCACGTGGGTGGTGGTCCCCACCTACCGCACAGCTGGCCACTTCTCCCATGTGGGGGGCCGGGCCTCTGTCATTATGGAGCTCGTGGCCCGCAGTGTGGACGGCGGTGGTTGGACGTGGGCAGCACACCTGGATGCAGTGGGCGGAGTCCAGAGTGTGCCCTGGGAGCAGGTGGCAGGAGGAGTGGGCGGGTGGGGTGGGCGAGCCGGAGCAGGGGACCGTGGGCTCCAGGGGGGTCTGGAGCAACTGGGTGAGCCCGAGGCCCAGAGAGGAGAGGAGGGGTGGCGAGCAGACCCTTACCCTGTGTCCTGTGCCCCCACCGTGGACCAGGCGAGCCCTACGTCACCATCAAAGCCTACGCTGCCGTAGAGGAGGACGAGGTGTCCCTGCTCGAGGGTGAAACCATCGATGTCATTCATAAGCTCCTGGACGGCTGGTGGGTCGTCAGGTAGGAGAGCCCCTCCCCCCATACTGCACCCACCCGAGAGTCAGCCTGGCCCGGGCAGGGTCCGTCTGGGTCTGGGCTGACTTGTCTGTGTGCATGCGTGACTCTGGGTAAGCCGCTGCCCCTCTCGGGGCTGCTTCCATCTTGGGAGCAGGTGAGTGAGGAGCCCACCTGCTGTCTTGTGGGGCTCAGTGTCCTTGTCCCAATGGGTACATTTTTCCTTTGTGACTTAGGATCTCTTCCTGACCAGCCCAGTGTTCCTTCTCTGGCAACACTGGTGAACTGCTGCATGAGTGATCACTTTTCTTTTCCCTTTAAGATGTTTTTTATTTTTTGAGACAGAGCCTTGCTCTGTCACCCCTGCGTAGAGTGCCGTGGCGTCAGCCTAGCTCACAGCAACCTCAAACTCCTGGGCTCAAGCAATCCTCCTGCCTCAGGGTCCCCTGTGGCTGGGACTAAGGGCATGAGCCACCATGCCCGGCTAATTTTTTTATTTTTATTAGAGACGAGGTCTCACTCTTGCTTAGGCTGATCTCCAACTCCTGAGCTCCAGTGATCCTCCCGCCTCGGCCTCCCAGAGTACTAGGATTACAGATGTGAGTCACCACACCAGGCCCTTTTAAAACTTTCATTGCAATTCACATCTGTAAGAATACAATTTTATTCTGGTTCTGGGAAAGCAGGATGTAGGAGCTTGCTGGGCCATTTTCCTGCAACCACGGGGCCTCCTAGGTCCTTGCTGGGGTTTTCAGAACCCTGGGTCACAGGGCCAGCCTGTGACCTCAGCAAGCTGGTCCCGAGGCTGTGGCCACAACACACATACCCCTAGCCTGGGCCGCCACAAATACCCCTTCCCCTGAATCTTCTTGTGATTTTCCCACCAGCCAAGAAGAATGAAGAGTTTTACCGTGTGACATCCGTGTTGTGTGAAGTCTGTGTTATGCAATGTGGCTTTTTTCCCTCCTAAATATAGTATTGACAATGGACAGGAAAATATCTTCAACATGTGGTGCTGGAACAGCACATGGGAAAAAACCAAAGGGCAAACCCAGACCCTATCTCACACTATATACAAACATTTATTTCCCATGGACCACAGGTTTTACCAACTGTGAACCTAAACTAAGTAGCGTCTGGAAGAAAGCATAGAAGAACTTGGCAACTTGGAGGCAGGCAAGAGTTCTTAAGACAGGAAGGCAGTCACCCTAAGAGGAAACTGACAAATACAGTCTCATAGCAAATACATGTCCCCAGGAGACCTGGCTGGATCTGCTCACTTCCTCCCTCTGCCCAGACTGCAGGAGACCTGGGAGGGCCTGTGTTGCACAGAGGAGGAAACTGAGGCCCTCAGGGGCAGAGTCTGGTCGTTTGCAACCTCTCAGCCTGCCTTGACCCCTAGTGTTAAGGGAGAGCCCTGAACCTCCCCATCTCTGAGCACCCCCAAGACAACTGCCCGACCCTCAAGGGCTGCCCCTGTTGCAGGAAAGGAGACGTCACGGGTTACTTCCCGTCCATGTATCTGCAGAAGTCAGGGCAGGACCAGGCCCAGGCCCGACGCCAGATCACGAAACGAGGGGCGCCGCCCCGCAGGTGAGCGAGCGGGGTTCGCTCTGTCGGTCCACTGCCATGCCGGGGCAGGGGAGAAGGGGCAGGGGCACCCAGCCTGGCGGGGGAGGCAGGACCCTCTCTGGGTCAAGTGGCCGGACGTGCCCTCCCGCGATGCCCCGGCCCTGGGGGATGGTCGTGAGGACGGTAGCAGCCCCGGAGGCTCCCCGGGGAGGAGGGCGGGCCGAATGCCCGAGAGGGGGTGGGACACGGGCCTGGGCTCCACGGCAAGGGAGGGTCGGTGCCGCGAAGGGGACTTCCTCGGGCCAGTCTTGGGAGCCCCGGGGTGCCCCTCCGAGTCCCGGCGGGCAGGGACGCGCCCGGGCCCTGACGACGCCCCGTCCCGCTGGGCCAGGTCGACCATCCGCAACGCGCAAAGCATCCACCAGCGGTCGCGGAAGCGCCTCAGCCAGGACGCCTACCGCCGCAACAGCGTGCGCTTCCTGCAGCAGCGGCGCCAGGCGCGGGGCCCGCAGGGCGCGGGGAGCCCGCTGCGTGAGTGCGGCCGGGCGGGGCGGGGCCAGCGGAGAGGTGGGGCGGGGCCAGGACCGGGGCGGGGCCAGCGGAGAGGTGGGGCGGGGCCAGGACCGGGGCGGGGCCAGCGGGGAGGTGGGGCGGGGCCAGCGGGGAGGCGGGGCGGGGCCTCTGACAGGCCGCGCTGCCGCCCGCAGAGGAGGAGCCGCAGCCCCAGCGCGCGAAGCCGCAGCCGGCTGTGCCCCCGCGGCCCAGCGCCGACCTCATCCTGACCCGCTGCAGCGAGAGCACCAAGAGGAAGCTGGCGCCCGCCGTCTGAGGCCCCGCCGCGCCGGGCAGCCCCGCCACCTCCCGCCCCTGTCCCTGTGTGTACGCGTGCTACCGTGTTTCCCCGAAAATAAGACTGGGTCTTATATTTATTTTTCCTCAAGAAGACGCCCTAGGGCTTATTTTCAGGGGATGTGTTATTTTTTTAAGTACAGCACAACAATCTACATTTATTCAAATATAGTTAAGTCGTCGTCTTCTGGAACATCATCATAACTCTCCAAACCCGGAACTCCATCCTGAATTTCTTGCGGCTCTATTTCCTTTAGAACCATTGGCCCCAATCTCTCCCGGGGAGCAATAGAGCTCTCATGGGGCAGATGAGAAGGGCTGCTCATCTTTTTTACCCCTCCTTCACGAAATGCATGGGTTGTGCAGACACGCTGCGTGGTCACGCCCATCACTAGGTCTTATTTTCAGGGTAGGGCTTATATTTCCCAAATGCTTAGAAATCCTGCTAGGGCTTATTTTATGGGTGGGTCTTATTTTCGGGGAAACACGGTATATAGCCCGGTGCCAGGATGCTGCGGGCAGCCCCGGGCCCTTGCCCCACATGGCTCTCCTCCACCCCTCAATAAATGTCGCTTGAAGTGGACAGGGGTTCTGCAGAGGCACAGGGAGTACTGGGCCCCACCCGAGGGTATTTCTAGAATGAGGACAGGGGCTGTGAACTCTGCTGAGAGGAAGTTGCAAGAGTGGAGGTCCGGTTGCATACTGCCCTGGCCTTGGCCAAGAACAGATTTGCACAAGGCCAAGTGCAAGAGGAACTTCCGGTTCCCTGCTGACCACAAGTCTGGACAGAAACCCCCTGCTCAGACTCTGGCCGAAGAGTCCTGAAGATGGGTGGACATAGTACAGGGGGCCAGCCCAGTCTCATAACAGAGCATGACCCTGTAGCTGTACCTAAACTTTGTGATTTAGGTATGGCGCTATCCTCTGATTATTCACCTAGACCCTGCTCCAGTTAGGTGGTTCTACCAGGAAGCATTGGCCAATGAACAGACCCTCACTGCTTACCTTAGCGTTGCTGCCAGCTCAGGGCCTGGGAGTCTTTGCTGGTGGGTCTAACCCAAAATGCAAAAGACACTAAGGTGCAAAGTGGAGCTGCAAATCTTTTGAAAGATGCTGCTAGTCATGAAGGCCACAAGTGTCCCTCATAAGCAGAAGTAGCTATGTGAGGCCAGGCAAGGCTGATCCCATTAGAGATGAGAGAAAATTGATAAGGGGACATGCCGTCAGGAGAATAATCTGACCACCAAAGGATTGGTGAGGCCTTGAGAAAACCATGGAGCCCTTAAATAGTTTTGCATTTTGCAGACACTTGTTGCTGCAAAAGTCCACTGTGTAGAGCTGTGGGAAAATGAACCACCAATCCCAACCCTTCTGCTTGTTCCGTTGCACTTATACTTTTTTAAATTAAATACAGTAAAAAATCCTTTTTTCATAATTTTGTTTCATTTTTTTCCAAGATGAAGTCCTGAACAAATATTTTCCCGGTGTTTTTTCTGTATTTCTCTATATTTTCCTTGAAGTGGCCTTGCGAGGGTACCAGTGTCGCATGCTCAGGAGGGGGCTCAAGGTGGGCGTGGTGGCCAGGAAGGCGTGCCCGCAGGGAAAGACTGGACAGACACGGGGTGTGTGCCCGAAAGTGCTGGCCCTGAGTAAGCCCTGTGCAATTTGTTCAGCCAACAATTTTCTCGAGGCCAGGCATATGCTGGGTGCGTTGTATCATGGCAGGTTCTGAGAACAACCCTGTCCAGTAGGTATTTTATGGATGAGGAAACCAAAGCCCAGAAAGTTTAGGTGATTTGCTTAAGGCAACGTGGCAAGATGGCAGCACTGGGGGGTGGAGCAGGGCTTTTCTGATGCCAAAGCCATACTGGATGCCACAGTATCCTGTCCCCGCAGAGCTCATGGTCTGTGGGTCAGGCCTCGTGGTGGGTGCCGTGGCTGTGGGGCGCTCAGAGGAGAGGGGTGAGCACACAGACACGTGCCAGGCTGAGTGAGGGGGCGTGGCTCTCAGGGCCCTCCGAAGACCCCCAGCCCCTGGGCCCTATGTTGGAGGAGTGACCAGCTCCTTCCTCTGCCCATCCTGGGAGGCGAAGACAGGGCCTTGGCACAGAAGGGGTGCACTCTGGGAACTGTCAGAGCCCCACCAAATCCAGTCCCCAGCTCCCCGACCACACCACTCGCAAGTGTCTGTTTGCAGACACCTCATTGCCATGACCCAAACCCACCCCAACCCATGCCAGTTTTGGCTCCGTCCCATGAATGACAGTGTGGATCAGTGGCCACTATACCTCAAGTTACCTTGGTCCCAACACACATTCCAGAGTAAAGAAAGAATCGGGGGTCTTAGGAGTTGCTTAAAAGCAGAATCCGCCCCATGAAGGGTCCAGCCAACAGAAGGCAGCCTAGACTGAGCCCTGCTGTCCCCACCCACTAGGGAGCCACACACATGACAGATGACAAGTGCAGAGGCTGCGTAACAGACACCTACGAGCTATCTCAGGAACAGTGGCTACTCAGAAATGAAGCACATGGACTTCTGAGTCACATGGACCCGGGTTTGAATCCTGCATGATCTTGGGCAAGCCACTCAGCCACTCTGAGCCTCAGCTGCCCTGTCTATAAAATGAGGGGCTGATCTTCTCCCACTGCAGGGCCACACTTCTGACATAAGGTGCTGCCATGTGTTCAGGTGCAGGTCCCCCTGCCAACCCCATCACAAACCAGCTGACCCTGGGTTCCTTCTCCAGGAAGTGAGCCTCTGAGCTCCCGAGCTGTGTCTGCAGTGGATGCCCAAGGACACAAGTGTCTGTGGTGGGGTCATTCGCCCTGTGTCTGAAGACAGGTGCTGGGGCTGGGCAGCAGGGCAGGTGACACCAGCCATCCGGAGGATGGCCTCTCCCTCCTGCATCTCCCTTCATTTTCGTTGAAGTCCTTTTCTCTACTGCTTCCCCAGTGGGCTGTCAGGCCAAGGTCCTCAGCCCTCTTGCACCCTAGTCATTAATTCCGCTAGTGTGGAAAGTAGTCTCTTTTTTTTTTTTTGAGACAGTGTCTCACTCTGTTGCCCTGGCTGGAGTGCAGTGGCCTGCATAGCTTATTGCAGTTTCTAACTTTTGGGCTCAAGCAACTCTCCTGCCTCAGCCTCCCGAGTAGCTGGGACTATAGGTGTGCACCACCACACCTACCTAATTTTAGAATTTTTGTAGAAATGGAGTCTTTTTTTCTTTTCTTTCTTTTTTTTTTTTTTTTGAGACAGAGTCTTGCTTTGTTGCCCAGGCTAGAGTGAGTGCCGTGGCATCAGCCTAGCTCACAGCAACCTCAAACTCCTGGGCTCAAGCAATCCTGCTGCCTCAGCCTCCCGAGTAGCTGGGACTACAGGCATGCCGCCACCATGCCCGGCTGATTTTTTCTATATATATTAGTTGGCCAATTAATTTCTTTCTATTTATAGTAGAGATGGGGTCTCGCTCTTGCTCAGGCTGGTTTTGAACTCCTGACCTCGAGCAACCTGCCCACCTCGGCCTCCCAGAGTGCTAGGATTTTAGGCATGAGCCACCGCGCCCAGCCAGAAATGCAGTCTTTCTATGTTGACCAGGCTGGTCTCATATTCCTGGCCTCAAGTGATCCTCTGACCTTGGCCTCCCACAGTGCTAGGATTACAGGTGTGACCTACCAAACCTGGCCTGTATTCATAACTCTGGGTCACTATTTCCAGTGACTAGTAGAGATTACAAACACAAGTATATATTCTTTCAAATGACAACTCTTCCAGGGGGAAAATGCCTTTATAAAGGACGTTATTGGGGAAACCATTCAAAACTGGAGAATAAACAATAAGTTGGATAAAGTGTTGCATCACTGCTCAATGTACTGCTGCCGGTAACTGCGTCATTGTTACGGAAGAGAATTATCTCCATTCTTAGAAAATACTCCCTGAAGTATTGACAGATAAAGGATGTATGTAACTTTCCCTCAAATGGTTCAGGAAAAAATGCATATACATTTATACAAACGTTATAGATACTCATATTCATTTATATACACATCTTAGGCACTGATTACAGACACAATATATGAGAGGGAGAAAGAGGAAGGGAGGAAGAAAGAGAAACTGAACCAATGATAAAACTGGGGTAAAATGTTAACAACGTGAGAATCTGGATAAAGGGCATATGGGTATTTTTCATACGTTTGCAACTTTGTATAAATTTGATATTATTTCAAAATAAAAAGCTTTTAAAAATGAGACAATCTCCAAACCTTAATTTACTTTGTCTTTTATAGCTTATGTTATTTGTTTTGGGGATTTCTGTTTTAAGCCTGACCTTTCTAGCTACATGAGAAGGCAGAGAGAGAGAGACTATAGGAAGTGTATTATGTGAAAATGTACCCAACTATTTCTCCTTGAACTTGGAATTGTGTTAGACCACATGGGTATCATGCAGATTAGGGCGGGGATAAATGTACGTGTGTGTGTGTATTTGTGTACTCCTCAACAAATATACACATCTGTCTCTCTCTACTGACTGATTTAAACTTCGAGATGCCAACCACCATGCCTACAAGGGGTCAGCCCGATAACGTGAACGAATGGAACAGGCCAGGCATAAAAAAAGTCAACTACTGGAAATACAATAAAACTGTCTTGATTTTTACTGAATGGTGAAGCATAAAATGTCGTACAAACAGGTATGATACTGCAAATTATATCTCCAATTCAAAGTGGAAAAAAACCTGAAAAACAAATATTTAATAATTAACTTTCTCAACTCATAACCCCTCGAGCCTAGAAGATTCTAGCCTTACACACCATGGGCACCACTGAGAGTTCTCCCTCCATCATGTCGTGATGTGAAGCACGGAATCCCACTGTGAGTCCTTCAGCTGGGAGCAGTATTTCGTTTTGCTCAGTTTCATGATGGAAAACAGCTGTTCACAAATGTAGGTGCTCCCGAACATGGACAGAATCTTTGCACAGTGGTTTCTGTATTTCGGGTAGCTGCTCCAGAGGTATTTGTAGAATTCCGGTATCCCCACCTTGTCGTATTTTGTCTTGAGCACCGTGTTGCACTGCAGATCGATGACTTCCATCTGCAGGTCCTCGCGCACGCTGTC